ACACACACACACACACACACACACACACACACACACACACACACACACACACACACACACACCTCACATGTAAGGACAGGCTGAAATGAAGTTAATTGTTGTCTCTGTCTCGAAAAACGAAGCATTTTCCAATGACTGCCTGTTTTGCTCCCCTACCTCTTCTCTTTCCGTCTCTCTGTCTCTCTCCTGCACATATTTACATGAGTGGTAGATGGAGTGAAAAAGTAAACGTATAATTAGGCTACATTACTTTGATTGTTTTCTTTTCAGATTATGCCTGCTGTCATCTCCGCGCCGCAAGAGAGGGCGAAGGGCATGATGCGATTGTACAAGGGGATGGATAGGGAGGGGCATGTCGCGGGATGCTGTTTGCACATTCACGCATGTGTGTTTGTGGGTCTGCGCGCGCGCGCGTGTTCGGAACCCCCCGCAGCGAATCGAGATTGTATTTCTAGCAGGGCCTAATGTTTTGTTTACTGAGTGTTAAAAATGCCTAATTAATAATACCCCAATTTGTCTGACAGTGTGAAAGAGAGAAAGGGAAAGTGGTGAAGAAAAAGCGATCACGAGAAATGGTATACACAGCTTTAGCAGAGCCGTAACACAATTTAGAGACAAAAAAACAAGAGAAAAAAGGTAAGACCGAATAAACTATGGAGGTAACTCAATGCAAGTCTGCTGTCACTGCTAAGTGATCTTAGAAAACACAAAAAGGGCTGCAACTTATTTGATTTTGCAATTTTAAAGTAGAAATCTGATGTTTTGGTCTGTGAGACTCATCCATAACTTATACTCCAAGCTCTAACTGATCATCTTATTTGTTTTTGCGAAAATTGTCATTACCTCTCAGAGTCAACTCTGTCCGTCTGTTAGCTAAACATCTCATGAACCACTAAAACTTTAAGGAAGTCATTATTCGTTGTACGTCTACAACTGATTAGATGTTGGAGTTAATCCAATTCAGATGAGCACAATGGCCAATTGACCTTTTTATAACACAAAAATGGCTATAAATCAGCTGACTGTATTGATATTGAGCTAAAATCTGGTGACAGTAGTTGAAAGTCATCCTCAGCAAATACTTTTCTGCAGATTGTGCAAAAAGTCATTCATAATGCTTCACTAAAACAGCCGAAACGCGTTGTTTCACCTAAACTGAATATAAAAATGTTGAAAATTTGTAAAGAACATGTTATAAATACTGTGAGCTAAAATAGGCATTTGTGTTTATTACATATTTAGTATGTTTATGAAGGCGGTAGACTTTTGTTGTACATCAGCAGTCTTTGGGAATGATCTCAACTTGTGGGAAAAAAGAAAGAGTAGAGAAGTGTGGGTGTTGAAGTGAAACCCGTACAGAGGTAGACTGTGTGTGTGTGTGTGTGTGTGTGTGTGTGTGTGTGTGTGTGTGTGTGTGTGTGTG